TCCTCCAGGTAAGAAACCGAGCCGCAGAGTTAAAGGGCTTCTGAAGGTCACAGAAGGTCACAAAGCAGTTGCGGTGGAAGTCTTCAAACCACAGGCACCTGGCACCACAGCCTACACATGCTCCTAACTACTAGGTTCGCTCGGGAAAGTACGTAAAATGTTTACAGATGTTTTCCTCAAAAGAATGGAAATAAGAAAGTTTGGGGCTTTAAGGGGGTAAACCTTGGTTCTCTTGGAAATTACTTAAAAAAAGGTCTCTTGGCCTCCTGCCAGATCCACACGTTGCTGACATCCTGTCATCTGAGGAGAAAGTCTGCATTCTACTGTCAGGAGCAAGCCCTTTCCTCTAAAAAGCACAAGCGTAAAAATGAAATCTCGTCAATGTGTCAGGACAGTCAAGTTTTTAGGTTTTTCCTGGTACGTAAGTCACTCCTAGGATGCTAGGGTTTTTGGGCATGACTCTTTGGGGGCACCAGGGGTGCTGGGTAATTCCTATGAGAAATCTCCCCCGGAAGGGAGGGTCTGTCTACAAGAAGTGGCGGGGCTCACAGCTCCCAGGCCAGCGGACAGACGCTGGGAGGACAGAGCCGGGCACACCGGGCAGAGAGGGCACGTCCAGGAGGGCGTCGGGGACGCCTCACTGACACACAGAGGGAACCTGACCACTCAGGCGTTTAAGTCTGATGCACTTGTGTGTGTTCGGTCAGCCTCCTCCCTGCCCTCAGGAAGTACCTTCAGGGTTTCATTTTAAACCCAGGTTATCAGAACTAGAAGAGAAGAGGAATCTAGTCATATTCCTGGGAAACATTCATGAAAATACACCTACTAGATCCTTAAACTGCTCACAATAGCACCTTATAAAAAATGAAAAATAGTAGCCCCAAGCGTCTAAATCCCAAACACTGGGTCAGATTACTGATGGACAAATTCTCCTGTCTGATCCTGACAAGGATGGAAATCAAGCCCTCGATTTTACACAGCAGAGGTGTTTAAATGCACTGCTTTCCTACATTATGAAAACATAGCCTTTTAAAGACTCTTTAAAGTTCAAGTTGAGTTTCAAGTAATCACTTCGCAGCAGCTCGAGGAGAATTATTGTTCCTCCTGATTAAAAGTGCCTATTAAAAAAAAAGTAGTAAAATGGAAAACACGCCTCAGAGAATTGTATTCCTCAAGGCCGCTTACTGCTTGCTGCCAGGCTTTTGTTAAAGGACAGAATGTGTTGAATTCTTCTAAACTGGCAGGGGATCAAGCACAACACGACATAATGAGGTAGTGAGAACAGAGTTTTTCCTATAAACACAAAGGACAAGGGAATAAGCGCATGTAAGTCTCCTCCAATTAAACAGGAAACACGACAAGGCGGGCTGCGCAGAGTCACAGTCAAACCAAGCTCACTGGTTCAACTTGAGAAAATTTACCCCAAGCTTCTAAGGTCCACCTTATGTGTAACTGATGAGTAAGAACAAGACAATTAAGGTTCTTCAAAACCTACGATTTGTATGGAAATGCTAAAAATAAAGTTCTAATAAAGATAATTCACCAACCAGAAAGCAAGATGAACCCACATGTACTAAGGATGTGAATTCTTCGCAGCGGCCATTTATTTACATGGATCCTAGGAAACGGCTCATCTTTCTCCACTTCATCCTCTGCAGCGTGTGCCCAGACTCTGGGCAGTCATCTCTCCCACCGCACCTTCTCTAATTCAAACCACAGTGATTTAAGGATTTACGACACCTTGGTTGGGCCATGAGGACATCAATATAAAAAAGGATAATGAGCTCAAACTTCAGTTGAGTAGCAATTTAAACAGTTTAGTTTTTAATCTCAAAATAAAAAAGAGAAGGCAACAGACTTTTCTCACTAGATAATTATGCAATGTGCTTTATTTATTAGATATCTGATTTCACGAGAAAGGGAAGGAGCTTAAAAATCCAATCACTTAGAGAACTTCAATAACAGAGCTGAAAAGAACAAACTTTCCTAAACTGTGTGCACCAGACCGAAGAACACAGGGTCCTCGCTGAGCTCCTCACGTGTCACATAAATGCAACTACTGCAGGGAGACAAGGTTGAGATATGTTTAAAATTAAAATAATAACACAATTACTTCTGAAACATACACAAATTTTAAAAGTTTTACTGGCTGGCTTGCCAAAAAAATAGAAAAAAATCTATGGTTCAATGCTATTAAGACTTCACTGCCAGTAGGCAGGACAGGCTCTCGACCTGAGCCCACGTTCTTCTCAGATACGGGCAAGTGCGTCATTCCTCAGCTGCATACCGCACATTTCTATAATTTCTGAACCAGTTATCAAGACTCCCTCAGGGATTATTAGAAAGCGAGCAAAAGACTTTCGTCACCATTCTAAGACACGATGTCTTTGCTGTTACTCATTACGCATGGTAAGAAAGGGAAGTTTAAATGAAGTTTCAGCTCTTTCAAAGTAAAAACAGATGTCTTTCAAACACTTACTACTTCTGTTCTTACGACCTTACTAAATTCTGACATTTCCTATAGCTAACTGACAAAGACGACCAAAGATCTCTCAGCTTCTAACTGTGCAACTTGCAAAGGATATGTTTGGGGTTTAAGTTATACCACAAATTATTATGATTAAAAATACCTGAATGTCTAAGAAAATTAAGTGAAAGTCTAACAGGCTGAACAGTGAAATGATAATCCAAAGACCCGGATTCGGCTTTTGGCTTCCACTCACATCTGCAGGGGGAAGTGAAGCTGTGTCTCCTGGGCCTCAGAGCCCGTGCTCGGTCCAGCGGAGAGCACTGCACTCAGCACAGAGACGTGAGGATCAAAACAGTCCTTTCCGGAAAGGACTCTGAGCCCCATATAAAGAGCAATAAATAAATCCAACACTAAATGTGATCAGTGTTATTAGGTGTGCGGAGGGCAGGGTCTCAAAACTCCCACAGAGCATCCGGAGACCACGGGGCTGGGTGTCCTCCATGGCAGGCACTTGGCATTTTTTATTTTGTACTAATTTCCCACTCTCTATTAGGAGGCCAGCCCATCTGTGTACAAAGTTTTTCATTTAAAATCCAGCAAAATGCCTCACTCTAGGAGACTGCTTTTCAATCCCATGCAGAATATCGCTCTGATCACATGCATCCTGTATTCACTGGTCAGACATTTCCTGACTGCCTCCTGTGTGCCAAGCGCTGGCATTAGCAGGTGAGTAAAACAGAGCCGTGCCCACGAGGAGTCTGTAGTCTAGAGGGAGGGCAGGACTACATCCACCTCGCTGCTGAGCTCCCCACAAATCCAAGCAGAATCCTAAGTAGCGCTTGATGAACATTTGTTGATGAAACCCAGGGCAGGCTCTTCTGTGCAGAGAGAGTCTCTTCTCTCGCTGCCTCCCCGAAGGCTCACAACCTCGAGGGGCAGCCCCTGGCCAAGAGCAGCCTTGCCCTGCCCTTCCACCAGGTGCTTTTTAAGGCGGTTCCAGCACCTTTTAAATTGATGCAGTGAAAGCGCCACCTCATTCTTGCCCTAGATAATCAACTGTCTTCATCTGACCACAGGAGGCCTCCTCTTGAATCAAGAAAGCCGACATTCTGGAAGGTAATACTGCAGTGTCTTTAGCGTTCCTTAGAAAATGCTGTGGGATCCCCGGTTTGGTACACTGAAGTAGGAAGCCACCAAATGGAACCCCAATGGACCCAGGCAGCTAACACAGTTCTCTAAAAACCTAACGCACTACCGTGAGGAACTGAGATGCCACAGCAAAGGCAGCCCTTATCCTGACCACGTCAACAGAACGAAGGGACTTCCTGGACATGGCCTGGGGAACTCCCCCCGTATAATTATAAAAATGGCACTTCCGAAGCAGGAGTGCAGAAAGCGCCCCATCAAAGTGATAGTGCAGTAGAGCAGCACACTTCAGTACTAACAGGATCCGCCAGCCCCACATGGTCTTTGCTCACGGGCGCAGTTTGCAAAGAGCTCCCTTTTAGCTATCAGCTCCTGACAGCAACGAAATCATGAGATAATGAGCTCAACAATGAATTTACAAATTTCTTAGGCCAAATGTTTAGAGCATACCAACTGCTAGTTGGTAAACACTGTTTTTAATCCCACTAAAGAAAAGAAATGCAAATACCAAGTAAAACTGACTACAAACTACAAGTAGATCAATATTTCCACTCAACACGAGTTTAACACAGTAGTAGAAACGGAAGGGCTACAGGCTCAAGGATTTATCTGAAGCACCAGGAGACAGTAATATATGTAGTTTGGAACTACAATTCAAAAAGTAAACATACACAGACAGACTTACCAAGTCACATCTCACTCACACACACACACACTCCCCCCTCACCTCTCTCTCACACTTTTTCCTCTCACAGGATATAAGCACTATCACACACACACACAAAGAAACCCCAAAACACTTCATTTTAAATTAAACACTTAAATTGTTACAAAAAATCTCCATTTGGATGTTAAACAAAGAAACCAACCAGCCTACTTTAGACTATAGCCTAAGAGAGATCCTTGAAATACTCACTGACTCTCACCTGAGACAACTTTCCTTCTGTTGGTGGGATAATGAAAATAAATTGCACTTCCCCCAAAGATATTATATCTAACATTTTAAGATCTATCCTCAGCCGCCAATTCCAACATACGCCTGGTAAAAGTGCCTTATGGAAGAAGAATTATCAAAAATTGATGAGGAGGGGCTGGCCGGGTGGCGCAGCAGTTAAGTGCGCACGTTCCGCTTCTCGGCAGCCCGGGGTTCGCCGGTTCGGATCCCGGGTGGGGACACGGCACCGCTTGGCAAAAGCCATGCTGTGGTAGGCGCCCCACGTATAAAGTGGAGGAAGATGGGCACTCATGTTAGCTCAGGGCCAGTCTTCCTCAGCAAAAAGAGGAGGATTGGCAGTAGTTAGCTCAGGGCTAATCTTCCTCAAAAAAAAAAAAAAGATCAGGAAAAGATGTTTCAAGGCATAAGTGGAATGTTAAAACACAAACCTGCATGAAAAGAGTTAAAATTTATTTCACAATACTGAAATACCTGTAATTTACAAAAAGTCATGATTACTTTTGGGATATAATAAAATTGAGTACATCCCTACACTTCAACATAATATTTTTAAATATATATATTAGTAAAATAACAGTTTGGCACTTAGCAGCTTGTGTTGGTTACTGCATCCCATATTATGCGGCTAATTTATTTTTTAAAATATTCCCTAATTTCTGTAGCTACAGTGTCAATGAACTGAATGAAAAGGAAAAAAGAACTACTTCTATAAAATGAATTCAGCAAGTCCCGCAGGCACTGACAATACTGCAAGAGGGGCCCGTTCACTCCGGAACAACAGCGTGTCTCCTTGGAAAGGTCTGGCATAGATGGGAAGAATTTCAAACTTCAGAAATTAAAAGAAAAAGAAGAGCGTCTGCTGACTGCCATGGCTTTAAGAAGACATCAGTTACTCCTTCAATGTACCGCAACCGCAGCTTCTGAATGCCACGGCTCTGCTCTGTACTAAGTATTTTACCAAAGAAAATTCATCTTTTCAGCAACTTGTTTCCCCTAAATCTAACCGTAAAAAGAAAGTTTTCTTTCTTTGCAGTGGCCACACAGCCTGCTTCAATCAAAAAATATCCAAGTATCGTTGGGAAAGCATGCAGACAACAGCTGACTGGCACACGGTGCAAAGAGACGAGGCTGGCTCTGATTGACTTATTGAATTTGATTGTGTTACACAAATGTGTGGCAAGTCTGGCCCAGTGCCTCTGACAGAGAAGAGAAACCCTCACACCTTCTGCTTCCAGAACCTTCTGCCAGGACAGAGGTAGCGTGCCACCAATAACGCTCTTTAGAGCCCCACAGGCAAGGCTCCTTCAGCAACTTTCATAGCATTGTGTTGACTACCAACAGCTGTAAGAAAAGAACTGTTCACCCTTTTTTCTGTTGGTGGTGGGAAAACATAATCGATGTCTCATATGCAAGTTAATAGCAAACAAACATTTCACACAGGAAGTTTCTAGAAGAAATTCCTGTTCTTAAATTTACACCCAAAGGATACATTTATACATTAACCATTAAGACAAAATGCTGCTTCTTAGAGCCATATTCTAACAGAAAAACAAAAGCTGTAGAAAACAATTAAAAATGAAGACTTCTATATTAAATTGACTAGAAATCTGATATTGCATAAAATTCAAATTATGACATAATCAAGCACTTTGAAGTCCCTGATTTCACACTAAGGTGGTATAATTTGAATGGAAAACAAAATACCTTATAAGGTAAGTGCTACTAATGACCGACTTCCCCCCAATGGGAAGCGGGAGAGTGGGCCGGGAGGGGACGGGAGGAGGAAAGCAGGGATTTGCTCTGCAGTGAACAGAATGCAATTAAGTTGAGGTAGTTTTTTCTACCAGCCAAACTTTACTGTAACGTAATTTGTCTAGAACTCTGACTAGTGAACGGCATTGAGAAAATTCTACTACAAAGACTAGATTCTTAACAAAGATCCGCATTCTAAGACAAGTTTTCATCCTAAACAGTAGTAAACAAGACTTTGTGTGCTTTCAGACAGATTCTTTTTAAAAGTTTTTGATCCCTATATATTTTGTCTGGACAGTTTTTTTTAGTCACGGCAGACCTTTTTTCCGTCTGACTCAGGTCGTTCTTTTTAAAATCTCCTACTTACTATATCCTCATGTTTATAAAATGGTTTTGATTAATTGAAAAGAAGAATGTCACTGCATGAGATCCTTCACAACTCCAAGAGTACTACCCCAGAAATGATGGCATGACATATCTTGATCTAATTAACACAGAAGTTAGCGACTCCCTTTAAATTCACAGGAGGGCTGCAACCTGACTCATTAATTGATTAAATCTTTAGATTACTAAGATAGAATGTCATCAGAGAAATTTTATCTTAGTTTCAATTCATCATAATATAGTTTAAAAAGATTCTCAGGACAGAGTACTAGTAGTATATGGACACGAGCTGGCATACAGTCCAATCTAACGTTTGAGGCACAAACCTTACTTGGTTGGGCAGGGTCAGGCATAATGTTTCGTCCCGAGTGCAGGAGAAAGCGATCTTGGTATGTTAGGATATGTTGATTTGCATATACGGATGTTTGTTTGTTTGTTTACCAAAGCCAGGGACTCGCACACAGCAGTCAGTCAGATACGAGGTCCCTTTAGGGAGAATGCACCTTAGTATTTTAACGTCAGTATGTTACATTATACCAATGCCCACTTCCCTGTTCCTTTTGACATTTACTAGCCTCTGTTTGTTTGCATCTAACTGGAGGAACTGATTCCTCCCAGGTAGTTTTTCAACAGTTACGTGTTCTCCCAAACAAGAGCTGCAGCTCTAGCCTCTAAGCATTATAAAACCACCGGAGTTACCATACAAAGCCCGGCACGCAGAGCAAGTTCCAGCTGCCAACTCTGCCCCCTCACAGAAAGCCGTGTTGTGGTGCACTTGGTCAGGAGCTCTGCTTCCACTCCGCCTCCTCTTCAAGGTGAATGAACACGGATACGGAACAGGCCTTGCTGAAGCTGCAGGCGGAAAAGCTTGCAATTTGCAATACGTAAGGCTGCACATCCGGTGCGGCGAAGGTCGGAGGGGAGGAGTGGTTTAGTGTGGTGCCAGGTTCCCGTGCTTCTCTTAAACTCACGCACATAGTCGTAATTGGTACCTAAACCATGAGAGCAAGCAAAGGTGACACCACATGCCTCAGAATCACTAAGAGACGGTTCCAACAAAATCACCCTAACACTCTTACCTGTATCAAGATCTCCGATTACGTAAATACTGGCTCCTATGGGTACAGCTCCATACACAAAAGAAGAACTGGCAGGGATGCATAAATTCTGGTCATTAAGATAGATCCACCTGAAAACAAACGGACAGACAAAATTAAGGAAATCAAAAGGATGACCACAACATCTAGAAGACTAACAGAGACAAAACTTGGTGAGCCATCAACAGCACCAGGTGCTGTGCCAATTAATCTCAAGCCCACACTCCACTTCCGGGTAACCACTGTTTACTTCCTGTTACTATACGAAGGAGTTTTGCCTGTTCTATAATGTCATAAACATTGAATCATGCAGAGTACGCACTTTTCAATCAGCTCCTTTGGCTCAGCATAATGTTTCTGAGGTTCGTCCATGCTGTTGCTTGCATCAGTAATTTGTTTCATTTTATTTCTAAGCAGTATTCCATTATATGGATATACCAGAATTTGTTTATCCATTCATCTGCTCATGCTCATTTACATAGCTTCCAGTTTCTGATTATTGTGAATAAAGCTGTCTGGGACATTAGAGCGTACATCTTTTTTGTAAGCTGACACCGTGGAATTGCTTGGTTATATGGTTAAAGGTATATTTCACTTAACAGGGAAGTGTCGCACTGTTTTCCAAAGTGTTCTGCCATTCTGCATTCCAGTTAGGAATGCATGAGAATTCTAACTGCTTGGCATTATTGCCGGCTCTTGATATGGTTGGTTTTTTCATTTTATCCATACTAGTGATGTGCACTTCCCTGAAGACGAATGACATTGGGCATTTCTGCGTGTGCATATTGGTCCTTTTACGTCTCTTCTTTTGCGAAATGTCTATTCAAAGGCTCGCTCATTTTTTTTTGTTTTTTGTTTCTTTTTGTGAGGAAGATTGGCTCTGAGCTAACATCTGATGCCAATCTTCTTTTTTTTCTCCCCAAAGCCCCAGTACACAGTCATATATCCTAGTTGTAAGTGCTTCTAGTTCTCCTATGCGGGGTCCCACCACAGCAAGGCTTGATGAGTGATGTGTAGGTCTGTGCCCAGGATCTGAACCGGCGAAACCCAGGATGCTGAAGCAGAGTGCACAAACTTAACCACTACGCCATTGGGGCAGCCCCAGTTTACTTGTTTTTAAAATTGGGTTTTCTATCTTCTTATTGAATTCTAAGACTTTTTATATTTGTGGAATATAAGTCCTTTGTCAGATACGTGTATCACAAATACTTTTCTCAACATGTAGATTGTCTTTTCATTTTCCTAATGGAGCCTTTTGAAGAACAGAAGTTTTTCATTTTAATGAATTCCAATTTATCCTTTTTTTCTTTTATAGTTCATCTTTTCTGTGTCCTTCTAGGAAATTTTTGCTTACTCCAAGGTTGCAAAGATTTTCCTCCTGTGCTCTTTTCTGGAAATTTCATGGTTTCAGCTTTTACATTTAGGTCTTACAATACATTTCAAGTTAACTTTTATGTATGGTATGAGGTAAGAGTCAAAGTTCATTTTTTTCCATACAGATATCTAGTGGTTCCAGCATTGTTTGCTGAAAAGACGTTTCTTTCCCCACTAAATTGCCTTGGCAGGTCTGTTTAAAATCAATTTAATAACCACTAGAAGGATCCAGGGCTCCATGAAGAAGCGGTTGATTCCACAGCTGACAGAAAATACAAGAGGAGCCTGGAGCATCTTGTGCTGCCAGATAGGAAGCGCTTAAAAAAGGACAGGGGCACATCAAAAGGACACCGGGGCCGGTATGAAATAGCACCCAGTGGGCACAGCTGGAACAAATCAAGCAACAAAATAATGACAGTATGAGATTTATAACTCAGAATAAAATAAACATCCATGAGTCCACACTGATAAAAATAAATAATCAAATACATTAAAAAAAATAGGGAGAAAGGACAAGTCGTCTTTACAGAATTCCAGTTAACAAATGCGGAAGGAATGAGAAAAATCACTATTAGGCAAACACCACAGAAATAACTACTGCAGGCTGGTTCATGGACAGATAGGTGATAAATTAGTGGTGAAAGTTGAAGGAGAAACAGTGTATGTGCATATTCTCAAATTTTCTCTTCCAAGATATTTATTAATTACAAAGGCAAAATGGTAACTTTACAATGGAGAAACCCAACAGACGCCACCTTAACCAGGTGACCAAGGCTGCATCACCAATTTTAAGACACCCTGACACCACATTCTCCCTGACGTGGTACAGAGAAGGGCACAGCATCACTTCTGTTGTCTTCCTGCCAAAAGGGTATAATCTCAGCCTAATTTCGATAAATCATTAGACAAACCCAAATTAAGAGACAGCCTCTAAAAAAAGTGACCAATAATCTTTAAGAGTACCAAGGTCAGGAAAGAAAGGAAAGACTGCGGAACTGTCATAGATTCATGGAGACCAAAGAAACATAGCAACGAAGTGCAATGTTGGATCTTGGATGGAATCCTGGAGCAGACGGAGAAAAGCTATTAGGGGTCGAGCTGGTGAGACTGGAGTAAAGTCTGCAGTTTACTTAGTAATAGTGTGCCAACGTAAATATCCTGGTTTTGATATCTGCACTATAGTTACGTAGGATGTTAACATTAGGAGAAGCTGGGTGAAGGGCTTATGGGAACTCTATTTTAGCAACTTTCCTACAAATCCAAAATTATTTCAAAATATAAGGTTTTCTTGTTTTTTTTTGGTGAGGAAGACTGGCCCTGAGCTAGCATCTGCACCAGTCTTCCTCTATTTGGTATGTGGGATGCCGCCACAGCATGGCTTGATGAGCAGTGCGTAGGTCTGTGCCTAGGAGCCACACCTGCGAACCCTGGGCCACTGAAGTGCAGCACGTGAATTTAACGACTTGGCCACGGGGCTGGCTCCCAGTACAAGGTTTTTTTTTGGCTTCAAAAAACAAAACAAAACAATTAGACTCTGCTATGTAATAATGTTCACTCAAGGTAATCTGACCAATTTCCCTCTCATGGCTTAAAATACAGCCAGGTCATAGCAGTCCTCAGTCACACCTTGGAAATGTATCTAAACCCTTAAGAACTCCCGAGTCCAGGCTTGCTCGCATTTCTGGAGTGAACAGGTAGGCAGGCACTGTTCTTAGTATCTCTAACTCTCTGCCATGAAGTGTCCAAGAAGCCAATGGCTCAGATCTGAGCATCTCAACATTAGATACAAAGGTAAAATTATTTCACTAAGAACAGCACTCCTATTTCAATGAACACTCTCTCCCGATTGTTATAAGGTAGTAGCTTCCATGTCTTGAATTCCAAGAAATATGGAAGCAAAATGATTTGTCCAAGATAACATAACAACTCAGAAGAAAAGCTAATATACGCCGCCATATCTCTAAACGCCTTCACCTAACATTTGATTCTTCTAACATCTGAATGTTGACTGGTACCCAGCACTTTGGGGGGACTGGGAATACAGTGTGGCCACCGCCTCCAACATGCCTCTAATAAACAGGAAAAGGGAAACACCTAAGAGCTCCCACTGAAAAGTGAAAATGGGCACCTGAACAGGCCTTTGAAAGAGAGAGTGTGAAGATGTCAAACTACAATACTGGCTTATTCACACTTTATGTCTTCAGGGCTGAACATAAATAACTAAACTTCGACTCTTAAATTCTTCCCAGGTTCCGAAGCGAACAATGCTGCTGAGTATCTGATGCCTCGCCTGCAGCTGAACCACACGCCCAAGATCAACCCCAGGGGAGAGGAACGCAACTCCGGCAAGCAAATCCATTAACGGGCCACGTGCGCTTACAAGAGTAACTGCGCTTCTAAACGAAGACACACATGATGAGACTATCTGTTGAAAAACACAACAGAATACAACGATATTTTGGAATAATTTTGTAGAGTTGAGAATTTAATGTAATGCCTTCCTGGAAAAATTAAACAAAGCTGAAGAAATTGGTCTATGTAGATGATCTATCAAATTTGGTCCAAAGCAGATCAATGATTCAGAGTTCCTGGGTTTCAGAAAAATAATCACAGGTGATCTATTTTATATAATGCTGAGGCTTCAAACGAAATCAACCTATACGAAAACTTACTTGGATCATGTCTTAGCTCCCTCTCATAAAAAGATATAAAAGGCATGTGATCTTGCATTTCTTTTTCTACCATTTATCACCCCATTGACCTTGGACAATTTAGCTAACCCAGTCTCTGTACCGTCATCTGTAAAGTGCGGATACCAGATGCCATCAACAACCTCAAATCATTGTTATTAGGATGAAATGAAATACCAATGCAAAGTACTTCACATAGTGTCTAGTACATAGCAGGCATCATAAAGGGGTAGTAATTTTTGTAATGGACAAGGCAATAGTATGCCTTTAGTTATAATGCTTTCAAACATGGGCTTATCAGGACTCGGAGGCCACAATGATGGTAACTCAGAATTAAGAGAATGCCCCTGAGAAGGAACCTTTGAAATATAGCATGGATCACAGCAGCAAGCTTCAGAGAGAGCAGAGTAGGAGGGAAAGACAGGCAAGGAGAGAAGGAGTGGAGGAGAGAGGGAGAAAGGGAGAGGGAGAAAGGGAGAGAGGGAGTGAGCTACAGAGAGGGGGGCAATCAACCAAGAGCAGAGAGAAGGAAAGGAAGAGCTTTAGTGAGGTGTCTGCATCTCGGGAGGAAGAAGCTCTTAACAAGCTGACCCTCCTGCAAGGAACAGTTGCAAACTCCGGACAAAATAAGGAAAACAACTGCCTGAGGGCTCTGCAGACCGAGTGAAAGCAGGCAGATTTGGGGAAGAAGCTGCTAGTTGAACTAGCATCCCACACAGAATTTTTCCATTCTTTGGTAGCTCTATCTGCAGGCAGCCGGAGGGCAGCACCTCTGGGTAGCTGAACCTCCTAGAGAAAATCCTGTCTTTCTTTCTGGCCGCTGGAGTTAGTGTCTCGGAGCAACGGGGACTGCCAAATGTGCGGTGGTCTCAGAAAGATAAGACACAGAGAAGAACCCCTAAATGTATGAGTACCCACTCCTCTCAAGCCTGTGACTGACCCTGGAACCAGTCATGCTTGTACCTAAGGCTTCAAGGACTGATCGGAGGTTTGAGCTGCAGGTGTGACAGCCTGCAGTCTGAGTCTGCCCAAGTCCAGTGCCTGCTGAAACTCTCCGAGCAACACTCTGAAGCAGTAAGAGACTGCAGGGCCCCAACGACGTGCCACTCACCATGTCCAGGATGCAATCCAGAATTACTCAACAAAAAAAAGAGCCAGAAAAATGAGAACCCATTCTCAAGGGAATAAACAATCAACAGACGCCAACTCTGAGATGACTCAGATGCTGGGATTATCTATCAGGCTGGGACTTGAACGCAGCAGCTACCATAACTAAGCTCAGTAAGGGACAGGAAAAGACGCTTGTGAGGAAAAGATAGGAGATTTCAGCAGAGAAATGAAAAAAACCTAAAATTCTACCTGAAGAAGCTAGGGTAGAAAGAGCAAAATAAACCCAAAGTAAGTAAAAGGAAGGAAACAATATAGATAAGAGCAGAAACCAATGAAACAGAAAACACACAATGGAGAAAAGCAACGACAGCTGGTTCTTTGAAAGGATGAACGCAGCGGCGGCTTTGTCAACAGAGGGCGCTGGAGGGACTGCATGGCTGGGCAGGGGAAAGGGCCTCTCTCTTGGGGTCGGCATGATTTTTTTCTTCCTCCTACCACACTGCTGCCTCCAGGGAGCAGGAGACCCAGAGGTGCTCACCCTCAGCGAGGTCCTCTGCCATCAGCTGGCAGCTTCCCGCACCCCAGGGCTCTGCTGAGCTGCGGGCCACAGCACGCCCTCCTCCACTGAGGTGCATCCCAGCCTTGCAGGGCGGGGAGGACTCCTCCCAGCCTGCTCCTTCTAAGGGTACCTTCTCTCAGCCCCAAAGGCAGTAGCGGCACTTCCTACACCAGCTATTTCTGCATTCATTAGAGTCTTCTTTCACCCATTGGCAGGTAACCCCCTCTTTCTAGTTAATGATTATGTAGGTTAAATTTCCCCCGTTCAGATTATTGGTGTGGATTCTGTCTCTTGACTGGACCGTGACTGAACCATTTGTCAGGAGTGGGGTTCATCTTCCATCCTCGTGTTCACATGTCTTACAAAGGCATCTGTAGTATTTGCTACTCCCTAAGCATCAGATCCAAACAGGATAATGTAATGGGATAGAGCAACACGATGTTTTAACGGACCATCAGGATCATGAGAATCTCTGCAAACATATTATGGCAGGTGGCGGAACTGACACAGCCCTGAGGCGAGACTGTGCAGGAGTACTGTGGGCCCTGCCAGGTGAAAGCAAACTGCTTCTGGTGGTCCTTGCGAATTGGTAGGAAGGAAAAGCAGCAGCTACATCAACAGCTGCATACCAAGGTCAGGGATTCTGTTGCATAAAAATACAACATTTGCATAAAGATACTACATCTGGGACTGAATCTGCGATCAGTGTAAACACCTAATTAAGTTTATGAAAGTACAGTTATTTTCCAAACTTCACCTGAACTTTCCACTTTTTCTAAGTGAATTAAGGGAGCATATGATAGGTAGCTCCACTCTCGCATTTCCAAGTCTGTGAGGGTGGCACTAACTTCCGCACGTTCCTCAGGCATGCAGTGTTGCTTCTAGTTTTCTCTCTCAGTAGGAAGGGAGAGTTCCGGGGACTCCCACTTAGCCTTTCCTACCATAATGGCCTCCAACCCATGGATCAGAGAACATGTGGATTCTGCCAGTTGTCAAGTATGTCTATTCAATTATACATTCAGGGATCAAAAGATGAAACTGACAGATCTTGACTTCAAAGAACAGTTAACATGATTTATCCACAAAAATGAAAGGGGAGGCATCAAGGCTGAGCAAATGCACAGAGGCAGAACACAGGATGGTTATAAGAAGTGAGCTGAAGTACAGGACACGCGAAAGGAAGGAAGTGAAAGAAGCTGAAAATCTTTCTTAGTCTCAGATCATGGAGGAGTCCCAGTGGGAGGCTAAATACTATTATCTTTATTTGGTACCCAATGGGGGAACACAAAGAATGCTCAGCAGGAGTGTGAAATGATCCAAGCCACACTAATCTTTCAAAAGCACAGGTAAGTGAAATGTATTAGAAGACTGGTGAGGAAGACTAATGACACTGACATAGCAAAGAGCGAGGGCACTGGGGTTGTTGCAGAGAACAGAAGGGGGTGAGTGCGAAAGATATTACAGAGTTTACAAAAGAAGATACGACCTGGCGACGGATGAGGTGTGAGGCACAAGACAGAACCAAAGACAACCTTTTTTGAGTCTGGATGACTGGCAGGATGGTGGTATTCGTAAAAGAACAGGACACAGGAACCGAGACAGAGATGCTGTCATTCTGAATATATTAAGTTGTTACTACGATTTGTGTGACTTATGGCAATTTCTTTGCTTTCCTTCAAACAGTTTTGTTTTTAGTTAGAAACATAGAAAATAATAAGATATGGCATTTTTCCAGGAAAGTTTTAACCTAAAAATAGGGAACAAAGGCAGGAAAGACACGAGATTACTTAAAAACAATAAACGGTCTCCAATCTAATACAGATTGCTCATCTGGCAACAGTTTCCAGAGTATGCCAATAACACATACTTGGAAGCATCTGTTCTTGTAAGAAACAAAAATATGTTATCTTTGTTCTATAGTTATTTACGGGAAAGTCTATATTTTTAAGGCAATATAGTGCAGTGGCTGAAACGGTGGACTCTGGCGCCAGAGTGCCCGAGTTCAAATTCCAGCTCTGCTGCCTGCTACCTGTGTGTCTCTGGGTGCTTTACTCAACCTCTCTGTGTTTTGGTTTCCTCATAAGAAAAACAGGAATAAATAGAGTAGCATTATGTCAGAGGGTTGTTTTGAAGACTGGATGAGTTGAGTGAGTGAATGTATGGCCTTTAGAGTTCCGTGTGTGTTTAGCGTTACCTAAACAAGTAAGAATCTACATATTATATTGACAAGAGAAATTAAGCTTTCTTCATTCTGTGTATGAACTAACATTGGAGAGCTCAGAAACAGGGAAACTAATGACACAGGAATTGCATTTGGAAGTGCTCTTAAAGAGCTCGGAAGGAGCAACTGTTTAACAATTATGAACTGAAAGCAAGTAACAGACTTACATCTAAAGCTTATCAACTATAAATATGAAACGACCTGATGGAAATACAAAGGTTCAACAATATACAGCATATCAAGGGCAGACTGAGAAACGTTACAGACAGATTTAAGTTCTGTACAACAAAAATAGGGACAGAAAATGGCAAAAACCATAAGGAACCTTGACAGCAGTGAGAGAGTTGCAGCTTTCCAGCTCGCACTGTCTAAACAGTAATTCGGTTATTATGAAAAAGGCTTATATCAATATTTTATCAGAAACCAAACACGCTGAGCACTGCTGGTTAATGAGGTTGGGCAGACGGTCTGGAGGTTCCGCCGGGCAGGAAATTAATGTACTACTTCACATCGCAGACAGTTAGCCCTCACCGTAAAACATTAAGGAGAGAAGTGTAGAAAAGTCTTTGAAATTCTGCCCTCTGCCCCCACCATAGCAAACATTCTCTAAATTGCTCTCACACTTTGTCTAATGAATTTTCCTAAGATAGTCTATCCCCGTAAGTGAAGGGAAAAACACGGGCTATGTAAATATTCTAAATGTAAAATACATTAAAAGTTAGGTAATATTTATACGTATTTCTAAAACGTTGGTAACTGCTCATTGTTTGCCCTACTCTAAAATAATATGAAATTAAACATTACATTATGGCACCCCCTTCTGGCAACATGACTGAAATACTATCACAAGATTAATTTTGGCATGGCTGTTTCCCTGCAGGATTTGAACAGCTTACTGCAATAAAAATCCTGTTTAGTGGTTACAACAATAAAACGTGTGAGGGAAGGGAAGACAGGGAGGGTGGAAGGATGCTACTGACTCCACAGGACAAATATGGCAGCCTGTCAGATGGCTTACGAATATCTGCCACCACACTCCATCCATGCAATCAGCATCTTATTGAGCGTCTAATACAGGCCAGGTACCATGCTAGAAGCTGGCATCCAAAGTTGACCGAGCTGGACCTTGCCCTGAAGGAGATTATGACTAACAGAATCTAAGAGGGAAAGACGCACAGATGTTATGGGATCACAGACTGAGGAACCTAAGTCACACTGGGAGACAGGAGAAGGCTTTCTCTAGGTGGTGACAATAAGGAGAGTTTTCAAAGAGGTCAATTTAACTGGATAAACATGGGAAGGGAAATTTTAGGCAAAAAGGAATAGTACAAAAGCACAGGGTGAGATAATCTTAACATGTTTTGGAGGGAAAAAGTCACTCAGTGGGACTCAAGTGAAGCGTCAGAGTTGAACTGAGTGGGAAGAGCAGACAAACGCCGTATCACAGAAGGCCATATACGCTACGTTAGGAGTTAACCTTTCTCCCAGAAGCCAAAGGGAGTCAGTGAATGATTTTAAGCAACTAAGTGTCAAGGTCTGATCTACATTTTAGAAACATTTTTCTACGGCTTTAATTACCCATACTTCTGAAGTCACTGAATAACTATCTAGTATGCAGTAGCCATACCTCCTAAACAGATGACATGATTCAGTGAAGAGATTGGAAAACGTAACTGAGCAAAGCTAAAACATGACTCTCAGAGCCTAAAGCAGCAGCCGCAGAAGCTCCCTGAAGCCACTCGTCATCACCTTTTAAACTCATCATGGTAGAATTCTGACTTGCAGGTCACCATCTCACCACCCTGGATGTCCTCGCGACTTCGCACTCCCCCAAACACGTAGAGCTCCATGGCGACTCCGCAGGCGACAGCGCCAAACCTGCAAGGCCACACAGAGCAGAGTGGGTGCTGGGCTTACGGCTCGTGGCCCAAATCCTGACTTCCTCTCCCGCTTCTCCGAGCTCTGCGACATTCAATGTTGCATGAATACGTGCGTCTTCCTTTCTCAGAAAATGGATTATTCATTTAACTTTACACAAATTCAATGCTAAGTCAAACAAAAGACTAGCGTGAAAGAAAGGAAGGCAAAAGCCAGGTGCAGGGAGGCTGTGAGGCCCACACCGCGTGCCCTCACCTTCTCTCCTTCAGGGGGCAGATAGCAGTCCACTGCTGGGTCCTCGGGTCATAACATTCCACAGATTCAAAAAGTTTTCCATATGATCCTCCGCCCATGGCGTAGATTTTCTTTTTCATAGCTGCATAGCAGCCGATCTGAAAGGAGAGAGCAACAGTGGGGGAGGCAACATTGATTATTAAAGTTAGACGAATAAATATTAACTTGTCTAGAAATCACTGTAAGATATTTAAACTATGGTGCTTTCCAAAATTACAACAAGGCTTTTAACAATAAGAAAAGCAAGGTAATATATGTACTGTTAATCCTTGGAAAAGGGTTAACTCCATCTAACAGCATTTCCCTAAGTGAGATAAGTAAATAAACCATAATTTTTAAAGGAGCTTTCCAGTCTCTCTAATCTTTCACCACTACTTGAAGATCCCAAGATGCAGATTCCACGGAGCAAGATGTCACTCAATTCCTGCCCCGAATACTTCAGCTGAAGGGCAGAGACAGTGAGAGAACCTACTAGGAGTAAAGGTCTACCCACAGCACTGCACAAAGCTTTGGCTTCCTGATGAGCCCCTGCCAGCATCAGGGACGTAAATAAAGACAGACTGCTTTAAACAGCCAAGGGGAACCATCTGCTTTCACTCTACTCAGTAAGCAATGTCATTCTTTACCTGTCAGTTCATGTTTCTCCCCAATCCTGCACGAGGAGTAAGAAAACAGGTTTGGAAGATCTGGTTGCTTCCTAGGTTAGTACACTCACGAGGAGTTTATCAGGTGTGGGCCCTGGGCACAGCGGTGCCACGCAGAGCCCACTGTCAGGGTGAACTCTCACACACTCCATCTCTTGTCTTGGTGTGGGGTGGTGACAGTGAAGGCAAGCTACCTACAGAGCTAGGATCCTACAACGTTACTTCTTTTAACACTGTCAAATGTCTTAAAAGGCATACATAGGAAATGAAGAAACATTAACTTTAAAATCCAATTTGTAATCACAAGATACAGTTCTCACCTTTCTAACCATGGTCAAATCAGGTTGCTTTGTCCAGGTTTTAGAATAGATATCATAACACTCCATGGAAATGAGCTCTTTTTCACCATCCTCTCCTCCTAAAATGTACAGCATCCCGTCTATCTCCACAATTCCAAAGTTATGCCTTGCCTGCAAAGACATCAATGATCTTTATATACAAAACGCCAACTACCATATTGAAAGCTGCTATTTATACATTTAATAAAAATGACAGACATCATTATATTTCAGAGTCCCAGCAAAGAAGTGCCAGGCTCAAAACCAGCTCTCTCAAATATCTCAGATTTCCCTAGCAATTCACTCTTCTGTCACAAAAGACAGAGAACACAAGTCCAGGAATTTCTTAGAACAGGGGAATTACACGCAAGGTGAATTCACTGGCAGAATTGTTACTTTTTACTCACAATAGCTCACAACAAGAATCATAACTATTACTTTCTGGCTCAATAAAATTATGTGTGGTTAACAATGGGCTATGATTAAGCGTTTCTAAGTTGATGTATGAGAGACAAGAACCACAGCAACAGGACTGCCTGTTGGCTGGAGAGGCAGCGGGCAGGACAGGTTTGTGCTAAGGCCACCTGGAGTGACAGAAGCCTGAGGTATTTCATATTCACTCGTCGACAAGTTCTTCCTTAGTGCCCCCTCTGTGCTCAGCACTATTCTAGCACTGCACAAAGAGCGCTGAACAAACAGACAGAAAAAGTCCCCTGCCGTCAAAGAGTTTGTGTGAATAATTTAAAAATACCTAGTAGGTGAGAAGGTGCTACATGGAATGAAGAGAAAGAAAGCAGGGGAGGAGACAGGAGAGTTGAGGGGCCAGAGGGAAGGCCTTACTGACATGGAAAAACACTGAAGGAAGCAAGCAGCAGCCACGGGGTGTCTGGCAAAGGCCCCGAGGCAAGAGCATTCCTAGAAGGTCTGAGAAACTTCGAGGTCAGATTGAGCAGGGGGACGGCACAGAGGAGAGCTAGGAGGGTTGCAACTTCCTTTCGTATACTCAAACGCAAAACAGACAGTAATGATAAAGGGAAAAAAGAAACACGGCACACAAATGAAACAAGCATGTCTCACCTCGTTCATAGGTGGCAATGCAGTCCACGTATTTGCATCTGGGTCATACTTCTCTCCTGAGCTCAGGGTCTGCTTATTTTCATCTTGGCCCCCAAATACAAACAAAAATCCTTCTGAAAAAATCAAAGGAGACACGCAAGAAAGTTGAAACTTACGTCTTCGACACCCACCTCCTGCTAAATACAAATGCCATAGTTGTAGGGATTGCGTGTGGAGAAACCTTCTCTGACAACAACAATGGCTTCGAGATCTTTATCACATTTCATTTGCTCCTTGGTGACAGAGCCAAATCTGTGAGTCACCCTGACCATTTTACTGCACTTAGTACCTTTGAGTGGACTCCCACTATCCTACAGCGTAAAAGGAAGAGTGACACCACCTACTCGGTCACCAAGCAACTCCGGGTTATCTCAGGTCACCTACTCTGTTCCCCAGCCTCTATGACTCTCACACAGCTTCTGAACCACAGCCCACATCTGTTCATTCAAGACCCCAGGAGCACTCAGATCTGGGTGCACTGTGCATTCAAAACAGGATCTCAGAGTAATTGTTGAACTTCCTATTTCGGGTAATGGTGAATTAGGTTATTCTAGCAACTCTAATGCAAAACATAGCTAAACTGGTGGATAAAACATTTTTAAAATAAAATAATCCTCTTAAGAGAAAAGCCAACGAGACAATATGGCAAAACGGAAAGGAAAAGTGGACCTAGAGAGGTTAGCACACACAGAAACCATTTTGCTTTGAGGACTTTTACCAATCTGGGAAAATTTCAACCTTTTAATGGCTTGGAGGGGATGAGAAAGACAGAAATCTAAATCCCAGGGCCACAGAGAATGTGGCTTCTGGCAGGAGAATCTCTCCAGAGTTCTAACTCACAGGACGAAGCCAACCTGAACCAGAAACCAATTTAAATCTCCTTGCTCACTGAGGAAATCTCAAGATTTGAATTTGATTTACAGCAATTCCAAATTAGTAGTGTTTTCAGGCAACTGGCAAAAACAAATGCCAAACTTCCACGGAAGAAAGTACCTTTACCTAAGCTTTAGATTCTAACACGCTAAGATTTTAAAGCATCAAATTATTCCTACAAATAATTTTTAACAAAATGATTAGCACTCAGCCAAAGATTCTCAGGTATACTAAGAAACTAGACTCTGAAGAAGAACCAGCAGAAGCAGACAAGAGGAAGCAGTCTTTCAAAGATTTCAAATTTCAAATAGTGGATACTCAGAAAGACAATAAAACAACAATGCCTACTGTGTTTAAAAAATAAAAGACAAATTTGAAGATAACTCTTGGAACAGGGGACTACAGAAGTGACATAGCAGATGTGAAAAAAGTTTAAAGAGAATTTACAGAAATTTAAAAAAACAGAGATAAAATAAAAAATTCAATGGATGGACTTAATGGCAGATGCATCGCAGTTAAAGAGAGAATTCAATAAATGGAAGATAAATCAAAAGAAATCATAAACGTGGCAACATGGAGAGGCAAAAAGATGGAAAAACAAAACAAAACAAAAAGAAGGGAGGAGGCAGAGGATGGAGTAGAAAGTCTAGACACGCTTAATCTGACTTCCAAAAGCAGAGAGAGAGAGGAGAAGAGAGCAGAGGCAATATCTGAAGATGTAACAAATAAAATTTTCCTGATGAGATGAAAGGCAAAGGCACAGAATCAAGATGCCCAACAATCCCCAAATATGGTAAAATTTCAAACAAAATGTACACCTAAGCACAGTACAGTGAAATGGCAGAAAAACAAAGACAGAGAGAAAAACTTAAATACAGCCCAGAGAAAGGACAGATTTTTAGACTGAAAACTGACTTAATGACAATGAAAACCAGAAGTCCGTGAAAAGACATTGCCAATGCGCTGAAAAATAACAGACACCAACCTACAATTCTATACCCAGAAAAAATATCCCTTAAGAATGCAAGCAAAATAATGACATTTTCAGACAAACAAATATAAGAGTTTGCTACCAGAAGACCCAGATTAAAGAAAATTCAAAAGGATGAACTTCAGAGAGAAAGAAAATTATCCTAGACAGGTCTGAGGAGTAAGAAGGAAGAAAAAATAAAGTAAGTAGTAAATACATGGGTAAAACTAAACTATCTATAGATATACATATAAAACAGATTAATAAAACAAATGTATATGTATATATGTAAATATTTATTTATAAATAATCATGTATTTAACACTGTACGACTGTGGAACATAAAAAATAGAGTATAAATGTATGATTAACGTCAGGCTTTCATTAACTTAATATCAGCTGTGGTTTATAAGGTAACCTTCAAAGAAATACAAACAAAAAATAAAACTTCTAAACTGGTAGAGAGGCAAAAATTCAATGACAAAAAATTCAATCACTTAAAAAAAAGGCAAGAAAAGAAGAAATGCAGAACAGGCTGGATAAACAGGAACTGCTCATTTCACAACTTCAGTCAACACAACTGGACACAATTCCTCTCTCAACGTTCAGAGTTTCTGAAATGCCAACCCCTCTAGGAAATCTTTGAAAATTAGTGATATAGGAGCCTTTGTGGCAGGTGTGCATGTGTGAAAATTATGAATAAGTGTACATAGTATGGAAGGGAAACTTGAGGAAGCTAATTCTGAGAAGACGGAACAAGGAAATGAGACGCACATCCTGTTGGCTGCACCATTCCATCCAGCTGTTTATTATTGACAATAACTTCAAAAATCTTGGAGCCCATAAAATGGTTCCATTTCTATCCTATAGTATAGCTTTAGACATTTCTACAACGTGGTGCGGGATAGTGTGGTACAGCTTTCAAGACTTTTAAGGTAATGTTAGTGGGCAAGCAGAGACCATTCAATAAGGATTCCAGGAGGGGTGCTGACTAGAATTAAGTGACATGGTATTTGTGGGGTGAATCCAGAAAGGCAGGTCCAAGGTGACGAGAAAGACAGCAAACAGCGGTAGGGCAGCGAGTGCAACCTTTCCTTTCCTATCAACTCCTTGAGTGAGAGCGTTTAACGACGGGGAGCTGTTTTCAAACTTGTGGAGGTCAAGTAAACCACAGTTTCTGCAGTAAAATAACCTTATGCCATTGCTAATGTAAGTAATATTTTCTAGTCTCATATGAAATTTTTTTACATGACACTTTCATTTCTCATATAATTACATATTGTAATTCTAAACTGCATGAATTCCAAAGATGCAAAGATCACGGCTCAAAGAACTTCTGTGTTCCAGGTATGGTGACACAGCTAACTGGTGCTAGGAGTCACTGCATTTTGCTCTTCTATCAGTGAAGTCCTCGAGTACTATGCTCCTCTACTAAAGTCTTAAAAATAGCTACGTATTAAAGATTTGGGAACAATAATGACTGACAGAAGACATTCTTCTCTTCATCAGTGTCTTGAAAGCTAGAGCTACACTGAAAATGTCATCATAAAGAGATAATAAAATCATATCTTTAAAAGGTTTTGAGTCATTCTGTACAACTCTGAAATTACACATTACTTGATCTCGTGTTTAAGTAAAATTTACCACAGAATGGTACCTGCTGAGAGCACTCCGTGGTTAATTCTTGGCATGCTTAAAGGGGCCAGTTCAATCCAAAGCTGCCTATTAGGGTCATAAAGAGGGCACATACATCGCATCGCTGCTGTCGGTTTCCGTGAGCTAAGGAAATAAATAATTGATTAGCAGTTAACGTGTTTTATATAGTTCTGCTTATAATATCTATGATTGGTTTTACTGCTCTACGGAATGTTTCAAGCATTTAAAAAATCTAGTGTTATCATGCTTAGACACTGAAAAATATTATGAATTCTTGTTCACATGGGAATATCCCTTCCCATTTACCACCTCCCCAATAACTCACACCCCTACTTACACTCTTTCCTCTCCACCCACAGTCACGATGCACTCGGAGTAACCCCGCGGTTTGAAGTTTGCCAGCATTGCCTCCCCTTGCTGTGGCTGGCTGAGCGGAATGTTGCTGCACTCCTTGACAATCTCTCGTACTAAGGGCTCGTTCAGCATCTGCTCCCGCAAGTAGCTGGAGTCTAACCCTGAAACCCAGAGCGCGGACACAACATCCTTCATGTGGGCCTGCAGGGGGCGACAGGATGGGGAGAAACAAGGGAGAACGCGACACACAGTGTTTAGAAAATACATTTTCCAACTTAAGGAAAACTAAAATTGTAACAGAAAAGCCAAAGTTCAAAAAAATCCTCTGAGTACTATATCATCATTTCTTCAGTCATTGTTGTTAAAAACCATCTAACACGTACAATATGAATGATACACTTTTCACGCTCAGTCATTAAATTTGAACGAACTGACTGCAGCACTCAACATTCATGAGGGGAAATTCTTTAATGACTAGTTTCTCTTGGTTTTGAAATAGTCATTTTAAAGCATACTCTTCTATATCCCACATTATAAAAGCCAACAGTCTTTACACACAGAGTTCAGATTAACCAAAGACGAAGAACTGCCTCTTGTTTCCCCAGCAACCTCATCACTTTAAGAAGAAAATCAGGGAGAAGCTGCTGACGGAGGTCTCAGTGAATGCAGCAAGCTGGAAACCCTGCTATCTCCTTTCCTAATTTACCAACGAGTGTGGAAAACAGAATGCTAACTGGACTAACTAGGCTGAGACCTGTTGCTAAACAGATGTACCCACAGGTCTGCAGAATTTAAACAGTGCAAGGTAATCATTAAAACATAAGTCAACAGTTATCAAGAACAATGAACAATGCAGTTGTACATTTTGAAAACTACTCTAAAGTCTGATATATTTCTAATTTTGAATACAGTAATTGAGGCTAGTCTTTAATTTATAAATACTGGATTTAAAGCCCTGTGATTGTGCTCCCTCCCGCAATGTATTAAGAGTTTAATTCTAAAGCCTGGTGTTCTCTAAGACCGTTCCTGCCCAGGCTGTCACTCCCAGAACGTTCCCACCTGGAACAGCACTGTCGCAAAACCTCCAGAGTGCTCTCCTGCTTTCTCCCTGAGTGCTGTCAATCATCCCAGGGAGAGCTCGCACCAGAAGCTCCTGAGGCCCACAGCCCTCCCCTCGGCCAGAGCTCACCCTGATGGCTGCATCAGGCCCCCTGTAGGAGCCAGCCCAGCAGCGTAGGAGGGACGGATGCTGAAAGAGAGAGTAGGGACTCTGCATTTCTATCATCTGCAACTTACGCTCGAAATGCATTTTCCCATTAAAAACAACGTACGAAGGATATTATGTTCCTTACAAATACTAATATTTTCTTTGCTATATTATGAGTTAAGGCGGGCTTTTGCAGACTGGTCTGAAAAACCAACTCCCGCTTTCATGATCCTATGGGAAGATGCTTCACAGGTATCTTTTAGATCACAACTTTCTAAGTCTTTCAAGTTGAAGGAGAAAGATAAAACATCCGTAATTTGGATCAAAAATAAATAAATAAATAAAAGGAAAGAGGTAAGGAAAACGTAAAGCGAGGCCCGGTGATAAACTACAGGTACCTTTCTTATTTCTGTGTCATGTGCTATCCATCGAATGACTGCTTCAAAGACGTATCTTTCATTGCCAACATTTAACTTCTCAAGAGAAATCACTTCTTTAAGCTTTTGTGGACTCAGTTCTAGGAACTCTTCTGTGCTGCTGACGTCTCGGAAATGAGTCTCCAGGTACTCCGTGGCGAGGTAATGGACGTGGTGCAGGCAGTAATGCAGGGCAAAGTCTCGGATCCCGATGCAGTTCTCAGCAGCGATACAGCCTTCTAGAAACTCACAGCACAGAGTCTTAAGGTCCGTCAGCAGGAGCAGGTCTGCTGCCTGTACAACATCTTGGATTGTATCTTCGTTTAGCCGGATCTGCAAGAGTTCATAAATATTTTATATTTGAATGTATATATTTAAAACCCAAACCGCTAATCTATTAGGCTGAACCACATGAAAGGTCCACTTCTGTAGGTCAAAGATAAGTGAATACTGGAACTTCATATGGTTCAACCTAGGACCTTTTTCCAAGAAGAGTTTGAGGACACCAAGGAACGTTCGAACAACATGTGCTGTGCGTGGCTGGTTAATTTTTCCCAGCACTTCACTGCTTTACCGACATTAACTATCAATAACCCTTCCAAGGTGAACGGTTCATGTTGCTCACTTCCACACTTAATTTACAGAAAAAGCTTGAATGACTGAAATGCTTAGGAAATGGGAAGTTCTGCCTACTATGGTGAACTGAAGGTGATCTTTTGAAACACTAGCACCGGAACTGACGATAGTCTCGCCTCCAAGTACATATACTTCACTCTCTTGCTAAACAGGATGCCAAACACGACAGACGCCCCTTGAGGAGAGGGAGCCTGAGGAGCCTCATCCCGAATCCCGAACTTCAGACTCAGTGCGATAGACACAATTCGGTCTCAAAGCTACTTTCTGGAATAAATCCCTAAGTTTTTCTTTCTTTTAATCATTATGAACATTTAATTTTCTGATTGATGCTTCTTCCTCTCCCCACATCACAGTTTTTCCATGCAACAGTAAGGCGATGTAAAGAAACAGGCCTCTAAAATACTGCCACAGTCACAAGTGGTCCAGACTCTCCCCAAGAATGGGTACTTGTCCTCCACTCAGAAGAGTGAAGGAGAGGCTTCCGAGTAGAGCACAGTCAAGAAACGTTTTACCAAGTTTCATGCCACAGATACCAAAAAAATGTGTAGTTGCCAATTACCTTAGAAACTGAGCAACAAAACCGTGGAAAGAGGTGTGTCTAGTAAGCCACAAGTAAGGAGAGATTTCCCATTCAGATGACACATTATCAGCCACACACAGTGGATAGCTATAGACTATTCAAATACAGGTGTGTGAACAAATACTAAATTCCATCTCGATAAAACTAAACTGCCACAATCAGGAGTTTGTTATAACTTACGATGCAACTATGGTCTTTAAACCATAATTAATTGAAATTGGGAACAGAACACAGAAGCTGATCTGTAAATAAGGTTTCAAGTTTCACATCCAAGCCTGAACATGAATATGCTCCTGCTGGCTCACAACTTGTTATCACTGCTGCTGAATCTATCTTAGAAGTTAGACAATGGGTTGGTCTTGAGCCTGGTTTTGTGATGCTACAGAGAATCTCCAGTATTTTAAGGGGTGTCTCAAAATTAATCTAAATTCATGTTTTTAAAAGTCATACACATACATGGAACCTTACATCCACATACCCACCACCTAATGTTTAGAGAAAAGAGATATGATGAAATTAAACCAAACAGTTCAAAAAGGATGACAAACACTGAACTTGACTCTGGACAGAATGAATATATTTAGAGGAAGTAAGCACTACACTCAAAATACTTAGGAACCACGTAGGAGACACAGCCCTTAAGAAAAGGAAAGTAAAAGTAAAGTAAGATGAAGAAGGAACAAAGGAGAGAGCAGGAAACAAGCTCTTAGAACGAGACAAGACAAAATGCATTCTCACGTAACCAAATGTAGGAGAGTCTAACGTCTTCCTGTTAAAACAACCAGCCCCGGTTCACACCTCAGAGCCTTCTTAAGAGTCCTTTAAATCACATAATAGGAGGTGGGGGTCAGAGGAGGGCAAAGAAAAAGAACGAAGTCTAATCACTTACTGCCTTCTTCCTGGGTTTCACTAAATCCCCAGAAATGTAAGCGGGTACAGAGGGTAAAGAGAAAGCAGAAAGAAAGAATGGGGGTGGAACAGGGATGTTGGTCCCACTGCGGCCACAGGACCAAGGCATCATGAATATGATGCAGGTGCCTGTCATTTGTCTGAATCTGGAACTCTGTATTTCTACAAAATAAGTGCCACCACCCAAGGAAACTCCCATTCCCATGCAATGGAGACAGAACGAGTTCCCCAACAGTGTGGGTTCAAAGCAAGACTGGAATCAAGATTTAAAACAAAAAGACAGCAGTGAAGGGAGCATCTGGTGTTCTTCACCTCTCGCGCTGGAAAGCGGAGCTCAGAAGGGTAAAAACAGAAGGTGGGGCTGGGTAGGGTCTTCCTCAGTCTGCTTTTCTTTTCTTGGGTGCCAGTACCAGTAGGAGATACTAGTCAAGCACACAATGACAGAAGATGGAGATGACAGGGATACTTGGTCACAGAATGGATGAAAGGAGACCCTCACCCTGAGCTTGAGAAGCCTCTACTTAGTCCTCCTTCCTTTGTGTCTCATCATACCTGCCCACTGAAGATGTAATCCAGGATCTCTCTCATAACCATTACCGATATCCCTTCAAGTTCAATCTTATAGGTTGATCCATCATCTTTTGGAGGATTATAGTATAACTTTGTCCTAAGAAAGGGAAAAAAATGTAAAATTTCTATGAAAGAACAGAAATAGCTATAAATATCTATGCACTAAATATTCTATAAAGTATATGACACTCAACAGTATATGAACCCCACCTAGAAAACCTGGTTTGTTGACTTTAGATCAATACATTTTTTATAACTTTCAACTACAAAACATTTGTTCCAGGTTTCAAACAAAACAGACAAAGAACAAGATCCATGTGAGCAAGGAACTTTACTTCACCTTGGGAACCCAGCCCCTTTCAGCTCATTTTTTTATGTATTTAATTAACTAGTTATATTCAATAATGTAACAAGGACCCCACAAATCTACCAACCCAAACAAAAAACTAGGACCTTGACAATAACCTGCTTCTAACCAACCATCCTCCCCATCAACTCCCATCTGAAGTAACTATTATCCAAAATCCTATGTTCAATTTTCCCTTGCTTCTTTTTTATTATTGTATCCATGAAATATATATAATACATAAAATACATAAATTTATTATTCACTGATAAATATATATTTAATTTAAAGTTGTTTTTAACTTTATAGAAGTATTTCATGCTGTCTGTAATCTTTTGGGAGTTACTTTTTTCACTTAGTATTATATTGCTAAGAGCCATTCACACTGCTGCATGTCACACTGGTTCTTTTGTTCTTTCTGCTGTATAATATTCTACTGTCCTGTTGATGGGCCTCTGGGCTGTTTCCAGGTCTTTGATATTGTGGACAGTACTGCTATGACTATTCCTGTCTATGTCTCCTTTTGTACTACATAAAAGAATTTCTCTTGGGTGTACTCCTGGGAGCGGAATGCTCAATTATTCTCCTAAGTCACTGGAGAATAATTCCAGTTTACAGCCTCATGTAATATGTGTAAGAGAAGCCATGGACCCACAGACTAAACATTTGAATCGGTCACACTTCCTAAGTTCTGCCAATTGAATGAGTGAAACATGGTCTCTCGTTGCGGCTGTGACCTGCATTTTCCTCATTATTCAGGTGCTGAACATCTCTTCATGTCTGTGCCCACATGTGTTTCCTCTTCTGTGAAACACACGTTCAGTTCAAGTCTTTTGTTAATTGTTTTATTGAGTTATTGTCCTCCTCGTATTGAGGTGTAGGAGTTCTTTATTATGTTCTTGATATTAATCTTTTGGTAGACTTGGCACTTTTTTTTAAGGTGATGAACAACTTGAAGAATAGTTTTTCATAGTCAATGTCTTTTTGTGTTTTGTTTAAGAACTGTATCTTACCCAAGGTTTAAAAGATATTCCTAGTTTAGCAAGGAGGAAAGCTAAGACACAACCTAAATTGCACTTAAAACCCCCTGCAAAGGCTCGGAATTGGTAGCAGGAGAAAGCTATGGAAGGAGGGTGAAAGATGAGCTAAAAACAGAAGAACGGATTGGCAGACTCTTAAGAAACAGTTGAATTCCCAGATCCTCCTTCTGCATATATACACAACTCCACCGCAGTTAGTAAGGCTCTCCTCAACTCCAGTGGAGGACAAGTGATTTATATTCTGAGGAGTATAAAACCGATAGTGGGTGTCTCTGGACAGGGGGATATCAGGCACACTGAGGGTGGGTGTCCTCCACCAAAACCTGAGTCAAGAGAGTTGTACCCACTGAATGCCGAGACCATCAGTCTTTTTTCTCAATTCTGCTCCTAAAATGCTGACACCAGACACATATCCTCCAGACAAGAAACTGGAAGACTCTTCTGGAGGATCAGCCCAGAAAGGAAGATCTAAAGATATGGACATAGACCTGCCCCAGGACAATGACCCATTGATCGCACAACAGTGACACCCACAGTCAAGAAGCCCAAGCTACCAGCTCTGAGCTGCCAGGACGTTTTGGAGCAGGACTTCTAAAATTCCTCATGTCACAGCACACGTAGAAATATCATATTACTCTAGGGAAAACAGATGATGTTATGTGTAGGCCAGAGGTGGACAGGGCGCCCCGGCCTCCCCAGATCCTGCCCAGCCACTCTGAGGGCTGACACCATCATTATCTTCACATAACTGCAACGCTTTTTGCACACTGGTTAAGAAATTCTGCTTTAGAGCCCCACTCTTAAAATTGAGCAAACAGGACTCAACAGACGTCTGAGAAAGAAATGACAGAACCAAAACCAACAGAGAAAAGGCAACTTGAGGAAGTAAAGAATACGCAAGGGAGAAGTTCAAGAAGATAACACGTCTCATTAACATTCCCAGAGAGAAAAGAGGACGCTGTGCTCATGAAACAAGAATAGGATGCTATAAAAAGGAACATTCAGAGAACAACAAAAAAATTTTAATGACTGAAAAAAAATTTTTTTTTATGTAAAGTCAAAATAAAACCTGAAGAAATCTCCTAGAAAAGAGAGCAGAAAGACAAAGGCAGAAAATAGAAGAGACAAGTTAAGAAAATTGGAAGATCAGTCTAGAAGACTGAACATCTGGAAAATAGGAATGCCCATGCAAAAAAGAGACTGCTACCAAGAAGTGCTCATAACAATGGGTGGAAACAGCCCCTTTCCAAGGCACAGCCTCGTAATACTTCAGAATACTGGAAACACAAAACATTCTTACAAGCTTCCAGAAAGAAAAACAGGTTACACACAAAGGAATCAGAATGGCTTCATACTTCTAAATGGAAGTTAAACAGCAGTGGGGAAATGACTTCAAAATTCTGAAGGAAAATCATTTCCAACCCAGGTGTTTATAACCAGCCAAACTACCAATCGAATGTCAGAACAGAAGAGAGTGACATTTTCAGCTATATACGGTCTCAAAACAATTTACCTTCCATGCACTCTTTCTCAGAACACTGTTGGAAAACACGCCCCAACAAACAAGGGAGTACATCAAGAAAGAGAAGACTCTGGATCCTGAAAAGACATGATCCAACAGAGGAAAGAAGTGAAGGGGATGGAGGGAATGGTGAAAGATGATCCTAGGAGGACAGCTACGTCCCAGCAGAAGGAAGCCAGTCCATTCTGGTGCCAGCAGGAGGCCTTGGGGGACCTTTAAGAACGTGAAATTGGTGGAATAGATAACATATCTGAAGGCACAAAGAGGATATTTGGGCAACTGCGTCTCCTCCTTATATCTCATATCTGCTGTTCCTGCCTCTATAGTTTCTACGGAACTAACAGTTCGAGTCAAAAGGTATTTCATTTCTGCTTGCTGCACCTTAGGGTGTCTATCTGCCTGACACTTTCATTAAAAGTGAAGAAAAAAATTCCAGTCAATTCTTAATCAAGAGAGAAAAACAGTATAAGTGGCAAGAGTAACACCTAAATCGTTGATATTTGGCTCTGAAATGCATCATATACTCTTTTTGGCAGTGGACATGTCTTCCAGGAATGTTTCGCTTAGGATGTTAGGACTTTCTGTATTTTTCAGTCACTGTGCTGGTTATTAATGTCTGGACCCTCAGATCCAAATTCACCCATTTTGTATGCTCACAAAAATGGATCTGAGCCTTTTAAATAATGTTCCTTCATCAACTGGCAAGATGTTAAGCTTTTCAGTAGAAGGTGCTGGAAACACACTGCAGGAGGAAAGAGTTCTGTTCCTGCTCCTGGTCTATCAGTTTGTTAGGCTCCTACAGTGCAGCCTGCTTTCTGGCATCATGCACCTGCAGTGCACAGCTGCCAGCAGCCCCTGTAGTTTTCCCGGGACCTCTTTCAAGCAGTTCTGTAGCAGAGTGTTTCTGGTGAGACACCTCCCCATCAACAGCTTTCCTAGGCACTTTAGAGGACAGATTTCCGGCAAGTTCCAGAGGGCCAATTTCAAGTAAGTTCCACCAGTGTGGCTCTCTGTCACTCAGTGAGCCATGACTGCACCTGTCCAAGAAAATCTGAATCTCAGCCCTGGGGGTGGTGACTGCTCTTTATATCAGCTATTCCTGTATTTCTTAGAGTTTTCGTTACTTCTTACCAGCCAATCCCTCTTTACTCCAATCTCCTGTTGTAGTCAATAATTCTTTATATTAGACTTGTCCAAATCACTGTGGAACCAGTCTTTCTCCTGTCTGGACCCAGACTAAGTTGCTAACCTATTTAAAGGTGGAAGCTCCAAAATGTGTTCAGATAGAGGAGCCTCAACCTAGAATTAGACTTGTTCTTATTCTAAAGTAATCCACATTCGAACAAGAGCTGGCATGCCAGTGGGTGGGCTGTGGACAGCGGCAGGAGGAAGCCTGGGCTGATGGGGAAAGAGGTTACAAGGAGACCTTCCACTGTTGCCCCTTTTTATTTTTCAACCACGTGACTGGATTCTTTTTTTTTTTTTTTTAAGATGGCCACACTGTCATATATTTTCACAATGAAAAAAGATCCTTTTTGGGGCTGGCCCCGTGACCGAGTGGTTAAGTTCGCATGCTCCGCTGCAGGCGGCCCAGTGTTTCGTTGGTTCGAATCCTGGGCGCGGACATGGCACTGCTCATCAAGCCACGCTGAGGCAGCGTCCCACATGCCACAACTAGAATATACAACTATGTACTGGGGGGCTTTGGGGAGAAAAAGGAAAAAAATAAAATCTTTTTTTAAAAAAAGATCCTTTTTAAAGAGTATAGTTTTCTTTCAGCAGGTGGCAGAGTACAGACAATGGCTAAAAAGACAGAAAAAAAGGCTTCTTTAAATAGGAGCATTGACCATTTCAGATGTCTTTAAAACTGATCCTTTTTAAAGCCCAGAAAAATGAACTATCGTACTGTCAAAATCCCTAAAGATTCTAAGGGTAAAGTACAAAACTTTATGTTAATTATGGTTTAATTTCAGATCCTTACACCTGCCCCAAACTCTCTTATCCTCCCATCCTGCTCTGATCTCTCCTAAGACTATCTGTGCACACTCAATTCCTACTCGTCTGCTAAAGACTAGTTTAAACGCCAGTTTCACAAAAAGTTTTCTATATCCCTCCATCCTGCCCCAGGCTGCAACTCCATCCTCACCTCCATGCGGGTAGAAATAATTTCTTCTGTTATAAATTTCCCCAGTACTTAATACTACAGGTTCATCAAGTTCTGTCTTTTATTGCGGCATTTAAGTGCATATCCCATTTTACTAACCTCTAAGTTCCTTGAGGCCAGAGTCCTCTTCATCACTGTAAACCTACAATCTAGCTTGGCAGTTTACAAAGAATAGATGTTCAATAATTATTTGTAAAATAAGTTTTTGAATTGATAGTACTCTTTTAAATATTTGAAGTGCTATCACCTGAGACTTATCCTGCATGACCTCAGGTACAGTGAAGCAGAACTGGAATCAACAGGAGAAAGAATTTTCTAATAATTTCATCTATCCAATGCTGAAAGGATGAAGCACAGGGCTTCTCAAACTTGAATGTTCATACAAGTCATCTGGGGATCTTGTCAAATGCAGGTTCCAATTCAGAAGGTTTAGGGTGGGCCTGAGTTTCTGCATTTGTAACAAGCTCTCAGACGCAGATGTTGCTGGTCTCCAGACCACTCTGAGTAGCAAAGGGTTAATCAGTGCTTCTCAAATCATCCGTGGTGTGTTTTTGTATTTCTAATCCATCCCAGAGGAGTGTTTTGTAAAATATAATAAAAATGTAATGGAGATATAATGTACAACACGATGACTATAGTTAATAATACCATATTGCCTATTGAAAGTTGTTAAGAGAGTAGATCTTACAGGAAGAAAACTTTTGTAACTATGCATGATGACAGATAACTAGACACTGCAGTGATCAATTCACTATATATACAAATATTAAATCATTATGTTGTACACTTGAAACGAATGTAATATCATATGTCAATCATACCTCAATTAAAAAATGAGTTACTAGAAAAATGAAATAAAAAGACATATAAAATACAGGCCCCAATTATTTTATCATTCGACTCAACAGACATAAAATTACTCGGTCAAATTGTTACAAGAGTTTCTAAACTCTTACTCTTAATGTGCGCACTTATATTATTGTGGACAGCTCAGCAGATGACGTCTTACTTAGCAGGCTGGATGACCCTCCGTCTGCCAAGAATCTAGTGAAAGTGGTCTCTAGTCCCTTCCAGTCTTAGACAGTAAGACTCATGCAATCCACTGTGCAACAGTCTTGCTTCATGGCCTTGTCATTCAGTTACCTCCTTCTCTCCTCTCTTGGACAGTAACCATCCCTTTCTCATGGAGTAACCTCCTCTTACACTTGTCTTCTCCCTTTCTGTCTTCATTTTTTCCCCAACTAAATCTCCCTATATCTTTATATAGATATATCCAGATTTATGTCCCATTCTGTTTCGCATTTCTTTCCTTCAGTAAATACGCTAATTTTTCCAATATCTACCAACGAACAGTCCTTCTCACTCCTCTGGACCAACACATTTTCTCCATAGCTTTCCCTTTTCTACCTAGAATTTTGTCTTGCACATCGTTTCTATCTCCTCTGCCACAAATAACTGAGGATTCAATGAACTGGTCTGAATGAGTTAATGAATTATAAAAAAAGAAAAAAGCTAAGCTAAAGGGTTAACAACTGATAGTTTCGTTTCTGAAGTTCGCCCATACAGAACAGAAGGTAAAGTGACTGTCCTTTTCCAGCTCTCCATCTCCGCCCCAGGAAGTTGGAGGGTCATACGTAAATTTACTGGAAGTCACAACATCCTTGTTTTTATAATTATGTGATGTCAATTTACAAACTCTCTCCTAGAAGATGCAGTAGTCTTAAAATATCACTTTGAGAATCTCATAACACTCTTTGAAAAAACTACAAGTAACTGGGAGTATTATAAAATTGGGCCTCAGGTGCTCAGATATA